TTGCTGGTTAGAATACTAGTGATGCACCAAAAAAAAAAAGTCAATTTGGTGCTTTTATCTGTCAAAGCCAGAATTAAGAACTTATTCCCATCAAACAATTAAAAACGCATTAACCTCACATTTCTGCCTCAAGTCCCAAATGAAGCCCCTCTCCTCCCCAAAAGCTTGTGTTGGCACAGGAACTCTGAAACCTGAGGCCAAAAGCCTGACACACAGCACATGGCTACAACCCACCAGCTGAAGAGATTTGACTCCAGCAGTGATGCAGGAAGAGTACAACAGTACCAGCTCTGTTATCTAGCCTACCCTTCGGTATTGATAGAATGGGAAGAGCCTACTTATCCAACAATAGAGAGGAAGAAAGTGAAAGGCAGAAGTTCAGGTCTTCTTGAAAAGGCAACACTGTTGCTACCTACAAAGTTCTATATATTTCCTGTTGCAGTGGTCTGTTGAGACACCTTTTAGATATACTTGTTCCCTAGCTGACAAGTCACTAAAAATTAAGTCAATAACCCCCAATGGGCCACAGCACAAAGACATTACCTGTGCTAGAATAACCTTTTCCAGTTTTTGATCATCAGAAACAGAAACCAGGTCCCAACATATTGCCCGAGCTACATCTTAAATTGAAAGAAAACCTCAAGTGGTACACAAAGTATGTTTAATTGTCATGCCATAATTCTAGCAGCATTTTCATGACCAATTTCCACTCATCTGTTGTAATAAATCCCTCTTGCTTAGCAGAAAAGAGTCTGGTCAGGTCCTGTGTAAGAATATCTTTAAAAGGTTAGAGCTGTTGCCTAAAGTCATACTAATTCATCAGGGGCCAACCTTCCCTCCAAGGCAACGTTTGACAAATAGCACAGCACGACTGTTGGAATGGCTCTGTGTTTTGGGAGACACCATCTTTTGAATGAGATATGCAAGGAGAAGATCTTTTTGACAACTTAACCAAAAATGACGGCCTGAAACTGTCAGGAGTGTCAGCCCGCTCACAAAATGCTCATCAGTACAAATAATTATACATAGTAATCGGCAATTAAGTTTCTCTAATTTTTAAGTATTTTTACAAGTCACATATAGCACAAGAGATATAGAACTTTTTCTCTAGAATTTTCAAATAATAAGCAGTCTGAAACAAAATAAGACCTACAGCAACAAGATACAACAGGGAAACACCTAGTCAGAATTTGAAAACAATCTTTAATGTTATATCAACAGACTGTGTGAGCAAGATTTTTCTTTTTTCCTGAAGCTGATAAATTTCTTTTCCCTTTAATACATAGGTGCTGACTTTCAAGCTGTGCATGGAGCCCTCTTCTGGAGAAATTTGAAAAAATAAAAGCTTAAAAATGCAGTAGTGTAGGCTATACATTTGGGGAAAGAGTTTCAGGATTTTCTCTATTCACTATAATGACAAGCTTGTGAAATCATTTTACTTAGTTGCAAGCCAGTGGAACATGATAGTTATTGTTATAAGCTATCACAAAAAGTATTTTTTCCTCATCTTGTATGCTTTACTTAATTTTTGTGTTGATTCATCTGTTGGCATGAAATGCATAACATACAAAAGCAACTTCTGGTTTATAACAAATATTTTGTGTATAGACCTTGAAAAATATCCTTTGGGAAAAATGTAAAAACCACTCCAATATGATAGATTTAAAAACGTGTAATTACTGCTTCCTGTATACTATATAGTGAACTGCACAAGCTAACAGAGTACACTTAGATTTTATTGTCAGCTTCAGATCAATAAAGCTCTATAGTATAGATATGCTTTGTAGTTTTAAAGGTGATCCTGAATTAAAAATGTCTTGAAACATATCTTCCTCAGCTATTCCAGCTAATGTTCAGTTTTCCTGTTGCTGAAAATAGGACAAAGTTGGTAGTAGTGTAAACTACATCTTAGTAAAAGAAAAAAATCCATTTATTGTCCACCTGTTCACCACAACTTTTACAAACTTACTTAATGGGCTGAAAAAGCAATTCCCTATTACCATCCTTTAAATGCCTCAACAGGCTGTTTTGTTTTGTTTTTTTTTTATTTAACAAATGCAGTTGATTTAGATGCAGACCAAAAAAACACAAACCCAAAGTTACTGGGTTTGGAAGTGATCTTTAATTAAAAATAAACCTTTTTTCAGTTCGTGTTCTTATGAACATAAGAATTTCCTCAAAGTTTTTTTTCTACACTGTAAACTTTGCTATCATAACTTTGAAATGAAGTTATTCCTATCTTCTAGTTCCACAGAAAGTATTGCATTACTAGACTGCTATTGCTTAGAAATCATTTTATCAAAATTGAGCTTTGCAGGTTCCACTATAACTGTATTATATGAGGTATTATTGCTCCTGCTAATGGAGAAAAAAGAAAACTTACCAAAAAATCCCAAAGTGTGTTACAACCACTACACAGCCAGATGGCTGCATTTGTTTAATATGTTGTTTCTCACATTCTTCTGTTTACTTTTCCTGTCACATGAAAGTTGTGCATGTGGTGTGTCAAAGAGAAAAGCCAAATAGCATTTCAGTAATTCCCTTTCCTTCCCTAGCATGCTATCACCTTCAATTCCTACTTCAACCTGCCAATACTCAACAACCTTATACCCGAAGACAGATTTATGTACAGTTCCTTATTATAGTCTAATTGATTCCCTAATTCATTAACTCTTAGGCATGATCTATAAAGTAAACTTGGAGATGTGTTAAATCACCAGGTAAAGTCATTGCCAGAGAAGGCTACATATGCTAGGAAAGAAGGTGGGGAGCAGTTTAAGCACTTAAATACAAAGCAATTCTATAGCACCACAAGTTCAGCCCAGCAAGAAAAGAAAAACTCTGAAGTATCACTGAAAGTTACCAGTAAAGTGCACAGTTGTTTTCAGAATCAGGTGAAAGGTGTTCTGCACCTTGTCAGATTTTAAGGAGTTACTGATGTTTAAAAAAACCCCAGCTACATGGTTTAACAGACCTTAGAAATCTGTCCTCCTCTGTTGTATACATACTGCTTTTCCTACAAGGAACTGATAAAGAAAATCCAAACTCAAGCTGATTAATTCATTACTGTGGTAAAGAAGATGGACAAAAAAAGGACTGAAGACACAGAAAAAGCCAAGCATACTGCAGTCCAGACAGCAAGTCTCAAGGTGAGGGAACACCAGCTCAGTATATCCACAGGTTACCTTACACTGTCTGTGCCCTCTCCCCCCAGCTCCTCTGCTCCCTGAGCTTTGCCACCCACTGGCAGCTTTGCCAGCCCAGCTGCCTCTCAGCCCACTTTGACAGCTTCTCCTCCCCAGGAGCCCTTTGGCCATCCCCAGCCCACCAGAGAGCCCTTCAACCCTCCCCAGGAGCAGCAGCTTGCCCACTCACTGCAGCTAGTCTCAGCAGAGCTGGGGAGCTGCCCACTGGCCAACCCTCCTACAGAGTCCACAGAGCCTCAGCTCCTAGGGAGGTCCTGCAAGAAACTCTGGGTATATCCCCAGCACATGCTGCTCTGGCTCCTCAGATTCATCCTTCTTCAGTGCATTCAGGCACCATACTTAGGGCCCAAAGCAGCTGCTTTCATTTGTTCCACTCCCTGGAGCAGGACTGTTATCCTGAACCTACCCAAATGCCAATGTGCTTGCTCACATGAGTCCCCAGCAACCGAGTCTCTTACTGTCCCATAACTTCAGCCACCCACACTAATGCTTTTACTCCTTATCAGGGCAAGCCAGGACCAAAATATCCTAGCCTTGCTCCACAGCTTATATGCATTCAGTTCACCCTACTGCTTCCTACTTATACACTCTTGATGTATCTCCTCTCAGCAAGAAAGCTCTCCCAACAGTGATCCCTCACCATTTCCCTCATTATTCTATTTTGAAAAAGCAGACTAAATGCCTGCTGGAGATTGCAGTTACACAAACACGAGTGCACAGACTCAGCGTCCCGAGCACTAGTTTGACACTAAAACCTACCAACCCCCCAAGGGTTAACAAAACCACTCGATCACCAGTCAAGAAGGAATTAACTTTTATCTCTACTCAGTGCACAGGATGCCAGTGCCACTGTCACTAAACAAAAGAGTTTACAGAGCTCCAAAGACAAAAGAAGGAAGGATGCACTTAAGCTGGACAACAACAAAGGATTTCCAAACCTCCCCAGAGCTTCCAAAAAGTGAGCCCTGTAACAGCAGCAGGAGAAAAAGAGAGCAACCACAAGGTACCGAGAAGTCAGAGCCGAGCGAGTCCCTTTGCTTTGACAGACAGCAGCAGCAGCGCTTTAGCAGCTCCGTGTTTTTAAGGCTGGGTGTTTTTTTTTTTCCTCTGCTTTCTGGCAGAGGGGGATCTATTACGTTTAATAAGAGCAAGGCTACATAGCAAGTCGCTAACAGAGTATTACACATCTATCAAGAGAGTACGGGGAAGGGAACCTTTTGCAAGGTTTGATTTTTATTTTTCCTCCATATTCCCCCTTTTTTTTTTTTAAAAAAAAAAAACCCAAACAATAAATAACGTGAGCTGCACGGGGAAGGGAACCTTTTGCAAGGTTTGATTTTTATTTTTCCTCCATATTCCCCCTTTTTTTTAAAAAAAAAACAAAACCCCAAACAATAAATAACGTGAGCTGCCTATAACAGCCTATAAACCTACTACCCAGCAAAAGCCACAGAGGAGAGAGGCAAATCAAAGTTGCAGCATTTGATATGACAGAAAATATTGCTACTGCAGCTGCTACCGAGACACTTGAAAGATTCTCCCCACCACCCTTCCCGAAGGGAAACAGAAAATGCTATATATCACACAGCAAATTTGTTCTAATTGTAAATCAGGGAACTATGAGATTCTATGTTCCTAGCAACTGGCTTATAGCAGAGATCTTGCATCTTTCAACAGTAATTCAATCAATGTATAATTACTCAGAAATCAGACCTGAATTACAAATACTTCCAAATCCAAATGCACAAGAGAAAGAAGATGAAAGAAAGCAAGGAAAAAACACACATTTCTTACCTGGGACAGCAGAAAGGACAGAGCAAGTTGAGTTTTGTGCTGCATTTTGCCAGACTAGAAGGTACCAGAGGCTTTTTCATTCATGCACTCGGCTGCACTGAGCATATTTTCACTGTGAAACAGCCTTTGAGAAGAGACTCTGCCTTGAGAGCCAGCCAACTTCCCAAATAGATCAGCAGCATCATCACTAAAGCATTGGATAGAGTCTGATGACCAGAACCAATGGCTTTACAAGGATGATTTCTTCACAAAGCATCCCCATTTTGCATCACACATATTGGACAAGCACCTCTCACAAACACAGCACCTTTAGAAAGCATTTTGCTTTGGTGTATTTGTGTGTTTAGTTTCAGTCTAACAAATCATGCCTTACAGATCTCAATAGTATTGTCCCTTTTAGAGAATGGAATTGCACAGAGAGAAATAAGAGCAACTCTGAGCACCGCTGCAAAGAGATTCTCTTTATTAAAATGTTAATAAGGTATGCTTTATTTTCAATAAATCAAAAAAATTACCACTGCAGCTTTAGTTACTTCCAAGCCTCAGAAGAAGAGCACAGTGAAATTTTTCAGTGCAGCAGAAATACAGATTATATTTTGTGTTTTCCCCTCAATCTCACAAATCACAACGAAGACAGATCAATTCTAGCCTGCAGAAAAAATCCATCATAAGGCAATAGATTTTATTAACTGCTCAGGTAATGGCAGAACTGGCTTTTGATTCAATGAACTTGAATCTAGGACAAAGTTTCAAAGGTGCATACCCTTCAATTACAAAAACTTTTCCTGTTTGGAAGAGGGAACCCCTGATGTCTCAAGAACCTGCTTTCTCTGGATTGGTTATGTTGCAACCCAGCAACTAGTATCAGGCAGATGGACCAAAGATTAGGAATGAATTCCCCTGTCTGCATTTCCAGCTCCACCCCTCTTGCCACTCCCCATTATCACAACGGTCCAGTCCTTTTTTGACTTTTTCTTGCAGTCACAAGGGTTATTTAGCCATACCCTTCTCTCATTTTCAGTAGGGTCAAAAGTCTCCTCAGCTTTCCTAACTGATGCTTTTGCCTTGCTTGCTCAACCAGCGGAGCCAGCTGCCACCATTTTCTGCTCTACCCCACCACAGGTGGATGCTGCGCTGGTGGAGAGGAGCAGAGACATGGGAAGGAATATGCATTCAAAGGAGCTGCCAACCACTTTGAGCTCTTCAGTATCACCAGGAGCTCACTGCTGCGAATAACGTTGTTTGATAGGCTCCCCAACCACTGCTAGTCTACTGCTCACATCTTCCTTTATTTACAGACCAGACCAAAACTGAAGGAAACACTGTCCTCACATGCAGCAACAAGTCTTCTCCAGTACCTTAATCACACATAAGTATAAATTAACACTGGAAATGGATCAGAATTCAAAGTAAACCCCAGAATTCAAAGCAGGAACTACCAGTAGCAATCACAATGCTCTATATAACAGCACAAGGTTCACCACGTATACATGAAAAAAAGCAGGTATGTTGATTTATTTTTCAGCTTTTTTTTTTTCCAGGCAAGAAGCCAGCTTAGCAGCATAAAAAAAAAAAAAATCTTAGAGCTCTTTATGATAAAAAAAATTAATGAGTGACCATCTCCCATTGCTCCTTCAGGGTCCCAGCTTTCCACCATATGTAAGTTGCAGCCTCGACAGAAGCACCTCAGAAGTTTATAAACAAAGCTGTAGTGTTTTCATAAGGCATAGCCTGCAAACACCAGCACCAGTAGTACCACAGCACACACAGCTTTTGTATGGGAGCACTGGGATTTGGAGAGTCTCATAAATCAAACAAACAGGGACCAAAGAGCTGAGTGAGTTACCAGACCAACCAGAAGTAGGTGGTGACTGAAAGAAACAAAGGCATATCTGCATCCTGTTTCACAGGAAAGGGACTCATTTAAATTTAAAAAAGAAAGAAAAAAAAACTCAAGTCATGAGGTAGATGATTCACTCCAAGATAATGCTTGCAGCAACAGGAGACTTGAGCCAATATGAGCAGTTAATTTCTGCACAAGACACAGCATGGCCAAGGGAGTAGAGAGGGGAACAAAGAGTTTAAGCCCTTCCCTACATGCCCACAGCCACAAGGGACAGAACTGGACCTGCTGCCATGGCTTCCCCCCTCAGCGCAGCAGGGCCAGCCATCACCACAGGGACCTGCCTCAGCCCCACTCAGGCCTCCAGCCCTTCACAGCCAAAGGAAGGCACGCACCACAGCCCTTTCCCTCAGAAACAGCAACTGCCTTTTAAAAACAATGCAAAAGAGCATTATTAAAAAAAAAAAACAAAACAAATTCACTAACCTTTTACTTCCACCCAGACTGTCCCACCTGCTGCAGCCTGTCCCTCTTGCTTTACCCCCCTCCTCACAGCTGCATTTATTTGTGCCCTGGAATGGAATCACTCCTGGAGGGCTGATTAACAGCTCCCAGGGGTTAACCCTTCACAGGCTTCTGCCAAGCCCAGGCTAGCACACCAGTGTGAGGCAGCCAAGTCCTTCCCCAGCGCCCACCCATGCAGGGCATGGCCACCTTTGGGAAATTTTTTGGGACTACTCACCTGAGGTAAAATCTAGTGCACAGCAGCCCTGGAGGCTAGGCAGTGATTAAATGGGTTTAACTGGGGCCTCTAGCAGCAGGAGGGGGGCAACTGCTCCGTTCCAAATCAGTCCCTGAGGCCCAGAGGAGAGTTTGGCCCCTTGCAGGTGGGCTCCCAGCAGGGCTGTGTCTTCTGGGGTCAGAAGCAGAGTCTTCTCTGCTAATTGGGTTATTAATGAAAAGCTGGTAGATTATTAATTAGAAATTAAGAGTCGGTTCCTCAGTCCTTCTCAGCCTTAGGTGACAGAAAGAGGTTCAAGCTCTGTAAAACATCTCTGAGGAGCAGGCTGGAAGGCAAGGTTCCAGGTGATGGAGGACGGTTGCTTTCTAATCCTCCCCTTGAAGCAATTTTGCTGCACAAATGAGACATGAAGTTGTGGGGCCATGGAGCAACAGCAGCAGAAATAACTGCCTCAGGTTTTGGACACGTGCATAAGGGAGTCTCCAGGTTTCAGGCCTTCCTGTGTAGGACACGCTGTGTGTCTGTAACCCCCTGCCTGCTGATGTAAAATGCATGGTAAGTTCAGGCAATGACTGAAAGGGGTCTTGGGTTGTGAGCAAAGAAAGCCTCTGCTCACATTTTTCTAGATCGAAGCCTACGTTAACTGCTCTGCAGTCTTTAGATGCAAGATACCATCATTTTCACTTATAAAACCTTAGGCAACTTGGCACCTCAGCTCACTCTCTCTCCATGACATACTCTGGCAATAGAGGCCAATACTGAGCTGAGGCTAATATGAATGGTATTAATTGCCCGCAACACGTAAGGTGTTGTGAGAGACAGACCCATTAACAGATGAGGGAGTGACTGTATGCTGCCAGAAATGCCTTCTGACATTCAGAAGATTTGCCCTGACTAGTTTGTAAAAGCTGAGGTTCAGCTGCTATGAATTTATCAGAGCAAGGGAAGTTTGATTTCACATTAAAGTGAGCCGCATAAGAACCTGGATGCGAGAGAGAGGGACTAATTTCCCCTGCTACAGTACTGGCAATCTGTATAGTCCTGGCTGCTGCACCACACTGCAGTTTCTTACTCCTTCAAGCTTGGAAAAAGGTTTTATCACTGGGCAGCAGTGGGGTGTGTGAGCTTGAGTGGCATCTCTCTAGGACAGAAGGAACAAAAAGGATGCACCCCAAAAATGGGAGCATAATACAGTCCAAGACAACTCAATCCTCATCAGATCAGCATATGACCCTAAAGGACAGGTGTTGGTAAATTTCTTCTAGGGCAGATGGACCAAGTACATAGTGGAACAGAAATTCAGTAAAGCAAACTAATTCCAAGAGTAAGTTTATCTGCAGCGTATTTGACATTGCCCTTATTATTAGGGAAAAACATGCTGGTTAGGTCTTTCTGAAATCCTTCTGGGTTGACTCCAAGAATGGCCAGGGAACGGAAGAAAATAAGCCTGATCTGCTGTGTCCATTAGATTTGGCACATCACCTTCCTGCTATGATTCCAGAGCACCTCCTAAGGATAAGAAGTTAAAGTAAATGTACCTGGCTAGAGCTAGAATCCATAACAGGAGTGAAATCCCATCTTCCTGCCTGAGGTTCATCAGCAGGAAGAAACAAAGCAACTGGATGCAAAATGTTCTGTTCTGGAGAATGGAGATTCAGAAGACTGCATTAGAGACGATTTAGTAAAGAGTTAAGGAATGTGTTTCCAGGCACTGTGGTTTTCTGCTTGGCAGTTCTGCCAAAATAGGGTTGGGTAGGGATTCTCAGTGCAGCTGAAGTTTCTTTAAGAAAGATTCACAAAAACACCAAAAGAAGAGTTTTGTAGTTTGAAAGTGAGCCCGCAGCTTTTCATTACATACTCAGTCCAGTACCTCCATAATACCTCAAATTCCTACCAGTATTTCTTACACTAGGGGCTTATTTGCAACAGAAAGTTTGGCATTAGTGCAGTTTTCTCTAAAACATGTGGGACTGCTGAACGCTTTGTCTACTGTTTTCCTACATCCCAGCCCAGGCTTTAGGACAGTAAATGCATTTTGTTTTCTTACTTGCTAACAGGCAAGTCACAGGGCAAATGGGCAACTAGAACAAACTGATACTTCAGTGAAAAGAAATAGGGTGTGTTTCATTGCTGGAAGAGGACAAAAAACAGTTGGTGAGTCAAACAGGATTCCTACATTTTAGAAAAAACCTTACGAGACCATCACACCCTTTTCTCTCCAAATAATAATAATCCCTGTTTATTATGACCACAGGAGCCATTTGTTCAATGCTTAAAGCAAAACAAACCCCACCCTTTTACTTTTTTATTTTGCATCCCTGAGCCCTTTAAGCATAAGCAAAACGTATGTTCTACTTCTAAAATTGAGCTATTGTGAAACATTCTAGAGTGACAATTTGCAGTGCTGTACATCTAATCTTCTAATCCTCACTTGAACCAGAAGCAAGCTGTTCCTTAGTTCACCTTTCATCTGAACTAAACTGAGGAAGGAGTGAGAAGAGCCTTAGGTATGTTGCAGGTGGGTGGTGTCCTCCACAGCACCTGTTTCATGGAAATTAGTTTGTTTCTA